GTCTTTTTATTGTGATGAGGAGCCAGTTCATGCTCTGAAGCAAACATATTTTACCTAAAAATATATGTCTTGCTCTTGATCCATAAAATTATCTTTCTATTCCTCAATAAACTTCATCTTATGCTTGCAATAAAACATCATAATAAAACAAAAATATTGGTAAAAGTACAAAATTTCAGTGGTCATATTGTCAAAACCTTCAAAAGGCATACAAAGAGAAGACAGGAGATGACCCCTTATAATGAACATCTATGAGTAATTGGTATAGAAATTGGCAGCCTCCTTGGCCCCTAATTAGCACCTTATATGCTGATAGGAAGGCATAAATGTAGACAGAGGTCATGAGATAGTAGGAAAGGAGAATATAGCTCTACTGCTTAAAGAATCTTGTTGAAACCAGCACCTTTGACTTAGGTGGAAGGTGCACAGAGCACAGCCCCAGGAGTTTTGCTTATCCCCTGAACATTTATTAGAAAAACTTGTTTTGTGTTCAAGAGCTACTGAAGAGAAGGTCATATACTGGTAGCAAGTGCCATTTTCCCCTCAACATTGGCTAAGGTATAAGATAATAGTGTCTGGATTATAAATGGCAGTATCTATAATATTTGATTCTGGAATTTGGGTTGTATTTCTACAGCACATGTGGCATTTAAAAGCTGTGCTTTCATGTAAGTGAAAATATACACACACAGAGGCAGATTAGAAAGGAGGATAAGGAACATCAGACAAGGAGAATGAGATAAGAATGAGGAAACACTGAGAACATTAGGAAGCAGTGACAGAGGGCGTTCTCTTTTGAAGGCAGTAAAGAAGGAGGAAGGCTGAGTCAGGTAAGTAAACCAAAGGCTCCATCTAGGTTAGAGCAGACTGGAAGATAAGCAATCATTAGATATCAACCTGTTATGCTACACATGGGGAAAAGGCAAGTAAGGTGAAATGACTTTTCAGAATCACAAGGTAACTTTTCAAGGTGGTGTGAAAGAAGCTGTGGACACAGCACCTGAAGTCAAGGAGGAAAAAAAAAAAAGTCTAGAAGTCAGGGAGGGGTTCAAGGAGGGACCAGAGATAAGCCACAAGGATGTGGGAGGCACATCCTTTTTCTCTGAAACACAGTTTGCATGAGGAAGATAATTGTCAGTTGGAAGAGAGAGGAAGTCACTACAGGTACTAAGAAGGTTTGCTGAAATCAGAGCTCAAACACCAGCTCCACAAGTCAGAAGTTCCATCTCCCAGGGAAATGCTGCTTTTGCCATTTCAATTGTTCGCTGTTCTCCTCCCAGGTGCTGACAGTGAGGATGGTAAGAGTCACTCCAGCAGCTCTTTGCACTGTTGCAAGGGTATTGGGTAAAAGTAGATTGCACTATGCAGGTGCACCTGGACACAAAGGCTCTGCGCCCTGCGGTCTCTAGCCCTCTGCTGCCTTTCTGGGTGCTGGGGCAGAATCCCTGGGGCAGTCAACTATGTCAGCCTTTATGTTTTCTTCAGCATCCAGATTCCTGTTGTCTGGATCATTTCCATCTCTGTTCCTTCTCCCTCCCTCCTGCTTGTCCCTTTCTCTTCACAGGCTTCCAGGGACCAACCTCTTACCATGTCATCCAGATCTCATCTTTTGCCAACAGCACCTGGGCACAAAATCAATGTTCTGGCTGGTTGGAAGATTTGCAGATTCATGGCTGGGACAGTAAATCAGGCACTGCCATATACCTGAAGCCCTGGTCCAAGGGCAACCTCACTGATAAGGAGCTTGCTTACAAGGAGGAAATGTTCCGAGTCTACTTATTTAGATTTATAAAACAAATACAGGCACTTGCCAAAATATACCACATGAAATGTGAGTTCACAACCCTGAACTGGAAAGATTCTCCAGGACTTTCTTCTCTCTCTTTTTATAAATTTCTAATGCCTCTGACCCTCCTGGCTGCTGTCTGCTATACCCCAACTGTGTACACACTCTCTTGAAGTGGTCACTGAAGCTAACTTTGCACCTCACACCATATTGAAGATTCTCTTCCCTGAATCTTCTCTAAAAGATCAAGGCTCCCTGTAAACACTCCCTGGCTCCTCAAGGGCTCTTATTCTCTGCCTGTCCTGAGTGACCTACACTATGGGTCCCTCCTCTGATCAGGCTCCTCAGTTATCTCCTCCTGCACCTGCTCTTGCTGTGGTCCTCTGTCTCATGCTGAAGTACTGTGCTGTAGGCAGCATCATGCTCTGCCTCCCTACCCCTACTTCTACTGTACCCCTCACACCTCACCAATGCTCCTCATTCTGAAAAGTTCTAAATGCTGAATTGGGGGTTGGTCATCATTTCACATCCCAGAACTTTATCCCAATCAAAATCTAACATCCTCATTCCATTTTTCATGGTTTTCTTTTTCATGCATGTTTAATAATATGTTCTCTGTTGTCTTCCCACTTAGACCCCTTTCAGTTTCAGGTCATAGCAGGCTGTGAGCTACGTCCTGGAGGATCAATTGTAAGCTTCTTGAGAAAAGCTTTGGGAGGACTGGATTTCTTAAGATTCGACAATGATACCTGCGTGCCTTCCCCAGAGTGGGGTCACCTGGCCCAGCAGGTCTGTGCACTAGTCACAGCACTTCGTGGTTTCATTGCTGCTGAGAGGCAGTTCCTGTATGAAATCTGCCCCCGATTTCTCTTGGGCATCCTCGATGAAGGAAAGGCAGAGCTGCAAAGGAAAGGTGAGTCCTGCTCTCTACTTCCCTTCTCACCACTTGCTCTGAGCTAAAGACGAGGAGGTACCCAAGAAGGATAGCCATTAACCAAAGAGTTACTTGATTCTCACAATCATGGAAGGGGTCTCTGTCCAATCTTGCAGGTTTCTGAGTCCCTATCATCTCAATTCAAGTCCTGATCAGACATTCTCACTGCCCTTTCCTGCCACAGTGAAGCCTGAGGCCTGGCTGTCCAGTGGCCCCAGTCCTGGGCCTGGCCGTCTGCTGCTGGTCTGCCATGTCTCAGGATTCTACCCAAAGCCCGTGTGGGTGATGTGGATGCGGGGCGAGCAGGAGCAGCCAGGCACTCAGCACAGTGACCTCCTGCCCAGTGCTAACTGGACATGGTATCTCCAAGCTACCCTGGATGTGGCATCTGAGGAGGCAGCTGGCCTGTCCTGCCGGGTGAAGCACAGCAGTCTAGAGGGCCAGGATATCATTCTCCACTGGGGTGAGAAGGCTCAGAATCCTTGACATGGGACATGGGAGAAGGAAGTCCTCTAGCACAGAGGGAGGCACTGGGAAGGCATAGGGCCTCACAGATGAAGAAGGAGAGAGAGAGACTGATTCATTTCAGAGATACCAATTCCAACAGTAATAAAAATAGAGGAGCCAAGATATGGAAGAGGTAAATGTGAAGGATCTGCAGATGGTGTTAGTTGGAGCTACAAGGATCACAGGATGGATGGATGGAATCAGGAACACAGAGAGGGAGGTGGGGATGACCACACGCTGGAAACAGGTGAATAGTGGTGCTGGCACGCAGGTATCCAAAAGATGCCAGGGAATTCAGGTAATGGGATGGAACATGACATTCTTTTTTCCTTTACCAATTTCCAGGACAACCAATCTCCATTACCTCGATCTGTTTGGCAGTAATAGTGCCCACCTTGATCCTTTTGCTGTGTCTTGCACTATGGCATATGAGGCACCAGTGAGTTTTGAGTTCTTTATTAATCTTTCTTTTCTGTCCTTGCTCCCACTCTTTGCCATCATTTTATCTGCTTCATTGCTTCAATCACAATCCATCCAGCAAACCATTCCCCCCACCATGTCCTTTATGTGGAGATATATACTTTTTAATCCTGTAAAAATACGCAGAACAAAATTTACCATCTTGACCATTTTTTAAGTGCACATTTGAGTGATGTTAAGTGCATTCACATTTGTTATGAAACAATCTCCAGAGCTCTTCCATCCCTCAGAACTGAAACTCTATTCCTCTTAATACCAATTTTTCACTTCCCCAACCCCCAGCCTCTGGACAGGAGCATTGTACTTTCCATACCTTTGAATTTTCCTACTCTAGGAATATCATGTAAGTAGACTCGTACACACATACAGTAACTATCTTTTTTGACTGGTTATTTCACCTAGTGTAAGCTCCCCAGTGTTCATCCATGATGTAGCCTGTGACAGGCTTTTTCCTGTGTGGGCCTAAATATATTCAGCTCATCCATTCATCCTTCTGTGGCACTTGTCTGTTCCTTGACCTATTGTGATTAATGATGCCATGAACAAGGGTGTACAAATGTCTCTAACATAGATCCCTATATTGTGTGCTTTTCACAGGTTGCGTCAGTATATCCCTTGAGTCCTCATCATGTCTTGTCTTCCATTTGGAATAAGGACCAAGAATCCTAGGATCCCACAGTATCAACCCAGGAGTTAGTCTCATCACATTTTATAAAATAATCATCATATTTTTTTCAAAGTGGGCTTCCGCCACAGTACAAGACAAATTATAATTGTAAAGCCAGTAGAAAATGATTTAAAACAGTCAACATATCACAAGTCTGTTTGAGTAGTATGATCTACGTCTTATATATTAAAATGTGAGAAAGAATGTCTGAGCATAAAAGAAACATGGTATGTGCAATGTAATAGTGACTTCTCTTCAGCTTTCTATTTTTTCAAGTTTCTTGTTCTGCCTAACTATAATTCCTCAAAGCTGAGATAATTGTATTGCCTAGCAGTACATGTACTTTATGTACTTTCTCTGTCTCTGCCTGGATGATTTTCTAACCCTCAAAGCCCAGCTCAGATACTTCTTCCTCCAGGAGGCCTTTCCTGCTGCTATTATGGGAATAACCCTCCACGTCTGGTATTATCCACAGACCCCCTGTACTGGGCACCCACAGCACTGCAGTTATTTCATGTTTCATTCTTTCCTACTTGTAAGTTCCTTGAGGCCAGTGCTGCCTGTTTGTGGATCCCTGGCAAGATCTCTTCCCTGCAAATGCATTTTCCCAGTAAAAATTATCTCAGTGCTGACTAGCAAGTTGATGGTCTTCTTCCAGAGTATAATCTCCTTCCTTCCTTTTTTCTCTTTAGTTTATACTCTAGATCTTCCTCTTCTCACTACAATGTATTCCGCTTAGCCAAAAACCATTACTTGCTTCAGCTCTAAATTCCTCTGAAGAAAACCACCCTTGTCCTTACCACAACTATAGTCTACCTTCAAAGAGTCATTTTGGTAGAATATTGCTTCTCATTTTTCCAGTGAGGATGAGTGAGAGGCAGGGTGGGTGAGGAGTAATAGTTCAGGTGATTGGGACACACCCAAGGAGAAGAATTAAGAGGTCTGTTCCTGCCCTCGGGGTCCTTGCTTGATGTCTGTGGTGTATCAATGTATTTTTGCTTTACATTTCCATTTACTCATGGTTTATTTTATAGCTTTCTACAAATCCACATTAAAATGTTCAAGTTCATTTTGATTAAAATAATAAGGGACTGAAGGATTTTAACATATATCTATATCTGATTTAGGAATGGAGGTCAGGGGAAATAGAAGTTGTAGCGAAGCCAGTGATACTAGAAGCAGTTCTCCTACCTATATAGTTTAGGACAACATGGTCTTGAGAATTTAACAAGTGTAGAAAATGTGTGAAATTCCAGCTTTCTCCCACTTCTGTTAGAACACCTGGCTATATCTCCTGGTTAGAATCAGCTAGCCCATCTTATATCACAGCCTTGCTCCTGCTGTGTACCATGAACTATGCAGTGTGGACATGGGGGGAACTATAAACAGGCTACAACAACAGTGCTTGGAATCTTTCAAGAAAATCAAATTTCTACCCCCCAACCTGCTGAATCAGAAAATATGGTAACGGGAACCAGTGACCTGTTTGTTTCAACAAAGATTCCAGGTGAATCTGATGTACATTCAATTTGATAACCTTGTTCCAATGGTCTCTCAACTCCACACTACTGGTGTTTGGGGCCACATGCTTCTTGCTGTGGAGGCTGCTCTGTGCACTATAGGATGTGAACAACATCACTGGCTCTGCCCACTAGAGGCCAATAGTGTGTGCTCAGTTGTGACTCAAATGTATCCAGATATTCTAAATGTTCCCTAAGAGTATAAATTGACCCAGATGAAAACCACGATCTGAGATAACGATCACAATTTCATTCTCCTCTTCAGCCAGAGTAATTGGCTCATTGTATATTTCTGACCTATTTGGCCTGATCCATTGAAGCCTAGGATTTATGTTTGCTGCTTGAAGAAAGAGGAGTTCCCCCGTTCTCCAGCCGATGTCATGTGTGCAAAGCTTAAAATTGCTACAGAATTTTGTCACATATGAAAAGCTGGCCCAGGAACGAAGTTCGCATAAAAGAAAAAAGCAACTGATAACAGGGCCAAAGCCTGAGCCAACTGTACCTGAGACATGAACTACCTCTGGGTATTTAAGTTATAAGAACCTAATAAGTTTCGTTTTCCTTTTAAGCCAATTGAGATTGAATTTTTAGTTGCTTGAAAATCCTGATATTATTGTGATCACTGATGTCTTGAGCCAGGTTTTTCATATTTTTCTTTCCTCTATTTTCTCTACTCCTCTTACACTATTCCCAAATTATGATCCCTCAACAATGATTTTTTGAATTTATGATTTTCTTCTTAGTATCCTTACCTTGATAAACCTAAATTTCCTTGTGACTTTTACTGTTGATAGGAGTCAGAAGGCTTTACACACGAACAAGGAAATGGGGCCTGGAGAAGAGGGGGTGGTCAGGGGACAAGTCTGGAGGGTCCCCAGTGGGAAGTTTCATGACCACTACATAGTGGCCTGTGCAACCATTGGTCACTGACATTGGCTATTACTGGGCAGGGCTGCCAGGGGAGGGACTTCCTTAAAGTATTGGAGAAAAAAAGCACACTGGCATGAATAAAAGGCAAATCAGCAGAGACAAGGCTGCTAGGTGTAAAGGAACTAATCACTGTTTACCAACAAGGGTTTTGCAGGCAGGTAAGTCTTACAGTCCACTAAACAACCGATCTGAATGACAACAGTTAGGGACACTTCCTTTGTACCAGAAGCTTTCCTATCTTGTCTAAGCTATTGCTTTCACTTACCTGACATCTGTGAAGTCATTCTTTGATTCCTGAGGGCAAAAATCCCACAAAGAGAAATTCAGTATCACTATGACCTCTACATGAATGACTTTCAGAAATAAATCTTCAATCAAAAAACACAAGGATTTTTAAACTATTTCTGTGAGAGAATGCGTGTGCCTGTGTATATGTTTGTGTGATTCTTGCCAATATATAAATGAACATTAGTTTGCCTTTATCCACGGTGGGTATGTTCCAAGACCCCCTTGAGTGCTGGAAACCACAGACAGTACCAAACCCAACTGCTGTCAATCTGTTCATATTTTCCTCCCACAGATTTAATGCCTTTTCTATCTTCACTAAGCAGTGATCCTAAGCTGTGACCATACCTGTCGTAGTTTGAGATGCAGCAACAAAACAAGCATGAATTTGTTTTTCTTCATAATTTCATTAATAGAAGAGTCATTCTTATAGAAGATGTCAGCAACCTCAGCATACATTTTGTTTTCGTTCTGTATTAAGCAAATCTTTCACCCTTTTCATAAAGAAAGTACTTTACAGCTTCTCTTTGGCATGTTCAGGTTGCCAGCATCACCACTCTTATGCTTTCATGCCACTATTAAGAAAAATAGGGCTACTTGAACATGACAACTGCAATACTCCAACAGATTTTAATTAGTAATTTTATGCATGCAAAGAGAAAGTATGATCAGGAACCACCTATTTCAATCACCATTTCAATGCTATTCATGAGACAGCATTGAAAAGTATGTCCACTCATAATTGCAATAAATTTCAGATATTGTATTTCATCCATGAATGTTTCAAAATGTACCTATCTAACGTATAAAGATTATTATTACATGTAACCACAATTATACTATCTATAAATTCAAGATTCCTTACTATTCAATTCTACTTACTATACAAATCTACTACAAGATTCCTTACTATTCAATTCCTTACTATTCAATCCATATAAACCTGAACGAGGTAAAGTCTCCATCCTCCTTTGGGACTGCATAGTATTCCATGGTGTACATGTATCACAATTTATTGATCCATTCGTGGGTCGATGGGCATTTGGGCTTCTTCCATGACCTAGCAATTATGAATTGGGCTGCAATAAACATTCTGACACAAATATCTTTGTTGTAATTCGATTTTTGGTCTTCTGGATATAGAACTAATAAAGGAATTGCAGGATCAAATGGCAGGAACATTTTAGCTCAATAACTAAGAAAATTACATGAAGGTTATGTTAACCAGTTTGATGAGAGTATTTCAAAATGTATATGAAAAAAGTACACTGTATCCCATGATTGCATTAATGTACACAGTTATGCTATAAGAAATTTAAAAAAAAGATTCCTAACTATCATTAAATATCTAATCAGCACTCAAAGGTTTCACAACAGTCTCATAAATTATTTTTTATACTTCATTCATTGAATTAAAATTCATTAAAATTAATTGATTTGTCTCATCAATCTCTTTTAGTCTGTAAATTTCTCCTCTATCATAACCTAGAATTTCCTTTTGAAGATACTGCATCCTTCTTCTTATGTATCAGTAATTATCCACAGTCTGGATTTTGCTGAC